CTCAACCTCCAGGGCTCAAGTGATCCTCCCACTTCAGCCTCCTGAGTAGCTGGGACCACAGGTCCCAGGCGCACCACCATGCCTGGCTAATTTTTTAAATTTTTGGTAGAGATGGGTTCTCCCTATGTTGCCCAGACTGATCTCCAACTCCCAGGCTCAAGACTGGTCTCCAACTCCCAGGCTCAAGTGATCCACCCACCTCAGCCTCCCAAAGTGCTGCGATTACAGGTGAAAGACATCACAATTACAGGTGAGAGCCACCACAATTACAAATGAGTTCCTTATCCTCATTTGAAGGATAAGGAACTTGAAGAATTGTGAGTCGTTCTCAGACATGAGGTTAGCAGAGCTCCTTTTTCGGATTTTAATACTTAAAATCCAGTACTCTTAGACTTAAACCCTGTTGTATTCTGACTATTCCTTTTCCTATTAACTGATACACTGTTTTTTGTTTTGTTTTGTTTTTTTGGGTTTCTTCTCTAAGACAGGGTCTCACTCTGTCGCCCATGCTGGAGTGCAGTGGTGAGATCAGAGCTCAAAGCCTCAACTTCCCAGGGTCAAGCAATCTTCCTGCCTGGGCCTCTCAAAGTGCTGGGATTACAGGTGTGAGCCAACGCACCTGGCCCAGATCTGTCTTTGAACTCAAGTCCTCACATGCTTGTGTTTTGTCCTTTGCCTCCATGGGTGTTTCTCTATCACCTAGAAATTCTCAAATATTAGAGGGCACCAAAATCACCTGGGACGCTTGTTAAAATGTGGATTCAGGGACCTCAACCCCAAGAGATCTGATTTAGGATGTCTGGAGGAGGGACTCAAGAATCTCCATTTTAACAAGTATCCATGTGATTCTGATGCAGGGAGTCCAAAGACCACCCTTTGAGAAATGCTATTTTAACTAGTTTGAAACAAAGCTCCAGTCAAATAATTCTGAAAGTGAAAATGCTGGGGTATTATTCAATTTGAGTGTTGTGTTGCCTTGAGTTATAGGGCTCTTACACAATGTGAAATGAATAATGTGGAATGTTGTTCACTGCAATAAAATGTCAACATTTCCAGTCTTTTTTCAAAAGACTTCTTAAGAGTTGCTCTTTCCACACACGGTCCTGTTTAAAAGGAATTACAGCTGCTCCTACTTTTATAACTAGCACGTCCAAATCTGCCTATGAAATATTTAAAATGAACAAAGTACAATTACAGCTATATTTACAGTTGTGTAGAACAAATCCATTGCCTTCAAAATTATAAGTCTGGCTAAGTAAAACTAACCAAAAACTCTACTGAAAAACAATGGAATTTTAAAGCACATAAGCAATGGAACAAATCACATGTGGAAAAATCAATAGATTTAGACTACACAAAAATGGAAAAAGGTGAAGCTCAAAAGCCATTACTAAACAAGAAAACCTAAAACACAAGCCACAAACTGGGAAAATATTTGCAACAAACATTAAGAAGGGTTGATAGATTTGAAATATAAAAAAGCTCACAAACGTCAAAAGGGAACATGGATAAAGAACAAGAACAGAGATAAATACATATGGGACAAGTTTAAGAACTTAATGGTATACATACTTTTTAACATTCAGCATTTTAAAATACCAGTGATATATACCATTTTTGTCAGTCAAATTAAGAACTTTTAAGGGATTAATTGAGAGAAATTTCAGTGAAATGGATAGGCACTCACAAACACTGCTAGTATAATAGATGGGCAAATTGGTGTAAAGTTTTGGTTTTTTGTTTTTTTTTTTTTTTAAAAACAAGGTCTCACTCTGTCGCCCAGGCTGGAGTGCAGTGGCACAATCACAGCTCACTGCAGACTCAACCTGTAAGGCTCAAGGGATTCTCCCACCTCAGCCTCCTGAGTGGCTGGGACTACAAAGGGCCACCATGTCCAGCTAATTTATTTATTTATTTATTTATTGTAGAGTTGGGGGACTCACTTTTTTGCCCAGCCTGGTCTCAAACTCCTGGGCTCAAGTGAATCCTCCCTGCCTCAGCCTCCCAGTGCAAAGATTACAGGTATGAGCCAGTAAGCCAAGCCTCAAACTTTCTTTAAAACAGTTTAAAAATTCTTACTATGAAAGTTTTTTGGAAAAAAATCACATATTTAGTTAATTCCTTTCTAAGTCTCTAGTCTAATCAGAAATTTAGAAAAAGGATTAAGAACAGAATTTTATTATTATTATTATTATTATTATTATTATTATTATTATTAGAGACTTTGAGACTTGAGTCTCACTCTGTCACCCAGACTGGAGTGCAATGGTGCAATCTCGGCTCACTGTAACCTCTGCCTCCCGGGTTCTAGCAATTCTGCTGCCTCAGCCTCCCGAGTAGCTGAGATTACAGGCACCTACCACCAGGCTCAGCTAGTTTTTTGTACTTGTAGTAGAGACGGGGTTTCACCATGTCTCATCATGTTGGCCAGGCTGGTCTTGAACTCCTGACCTCAGGTGATCCACCCACCTCGGCCTCCCAAACTGCTGGGATTACAGGCATGAGCCACCATGCCCGGCCAAGAATTATTTTTAAGATGGAAAAATTGGAATCAATCTAAAGATGAAAAAAGAATGTTTAAAGAAATAATCCATGGTATATGCACATGACAATGTTACATAGCAATTTAAAATGGTTTTTTCAAGCACTTAATGGTGCTTAAAATGTTTCGGATACAAGGATGCTTTGAAAAGCAAGATATGGCATTTATACATAATATGATCCCAATTTTCTTTTAAAACATTTTTATATGCATATTAAAAAGCTGTAAATAAATAAATCAAAATGCTAAAAGCTGTTATCTATGGGTGTTAAGGTTTTTATTCTTCTTTTTAGTGATTATCTGTGCTATCAATTCTCTACAATGACCATATGTTACTCTAATAATCAGAAAATGCAATAAAAGGTATTTCAAAAGCCCCTCTGAAAACATAACATAAAAAAGGAAAAGTTGTCAACTTAATTAATTTATAGTTTGCAAGTGACAGAGAACACTCACCACTTATTTCTGTAGCAGGCACTGGAATCCATTTATGGAGTGCCAGTGACCTTATATTCTCAAGACAACTGCTTATCTGTCTCTCTAATTGGAAGAGGGGGATATGGAGAAAAGACAACAGTCTCTAGGAACAGATGTCTGAAGGGAGATAAACCAAGTATCAGGGTAAAGTAAAAAGAAAATTTTACTAACAATCCTTAGTCTAACTATATTCTAATTTAGAACTCTTAGCCCAAAACATTTCTCCTTATACAAACTGGTATACCAGTTGATCAACATAACTAACACCACTAATATTTTAAAAAATATATAGGAAGGGCTGTCCTGCATGAATTTAAATTTGCAATCATATGAGCAATGTAATTTCTTCCTTAAAAGTTAGATGATTGGATAGGGGTTAATTTTGATAATGAAAAGACTGAAAAAGAATATGACATATGCTGGATTACTTCACCCACCCTACCAAAGACCAACTTTGTATAAGAAAATACTAAAGAATCTTAGTCAGGCCTCCATATTAATTTTGTATTGGTAATGCTTGATAGAGAGATCACGGGACACAGATAATTCTAGTACACTAAGTTCTAGCTGAATACCCAACTAGAACCCAAATGTCTTCATATTAAAATCAGCATGGCAAATGGCCCCTTCTTGGTTGCTAGGCAAACAAAAACAAACTGGGGGTCACTTCAGGGAACCTGGGAGGAAGGCAGAGCCAAGGTTTTCTCCCAGGTCCATAGGAGGTCATGACTTGAGCATTCCCAAACTGAAAGAGGGAAATTATATTTGGTGAATTTCATTCTCCCTATTAAAAGGATAGGTTCAAAATTGAGAGATTTCATAGGTTGATGCACTATATCTAACTAATCAAATCTCTGCCCAGGGCTAGATATGCCAGCTGACAACTGGGTAGCCACTGTATACAACGTACATTGTAGCTGGATTAAGGCACTGAATGAAAGAACTAGCAAGGAATTAGCTAAGAACACTTTAGCAAAGATGAGTCTATTTTATTTAAACTTATCCTTTGGAAGTTAGCAAAAGAAAGGAGAGACTAACAGCACACGTGGAAAGGCAGATATTGTAAGGATCTTGTGAAGTGTGAGGAGGAGCGTTACTTAAATAACAGAAGAGAATGGGTGAAAGAGCCCTGAAGATAGATTTTTGCCTACTATCAATTCCGTAGACATTTATTGAGCCAGGCATTGTGTCGGTCCTGGAGATACATGGAAAAGGGCCTTTCCTTAAAGATTTCATGGTCTAACAGGGCACAGTGACTCATACCCATAATCCCAGCACTTTGGGAGGCAGGGGTATAAGGATCACTTGAGCCTAGGAGTTGGAGACCAGCCTGGTCAATACGGTGAGACCCTGTCTCTAGAAAAAAAAAAAAAAATTAGTCGGTGTGTGGTGCACACCTGTAGTCCCAGCTACTCAGGAGGCTAAGGTGGGAGGATCGCTTGAGCTTAGGAAGTCAAGGCTGCAGTGAGCTGTGATTGAGCCAGCGCACTCCAGCCTGGGTGACAGAGCGATACCTTGCCTAAAAATAAAAGAAAAATGGATAAAGATTTCATGGTCTAGTGGGGAAGATAGATATGTGAATTACAAAGTATAGTCAAGTCCTACATACTGGTAAAAACTCTGGCAGACAATTCAGTCTCTTCATCTTTCTTCAAACATTTATTTGCTCTATTGTATACCTGGGACTTAGAAACTACAGATACAAAGACCAGTATGATAGGGTCACTGCCCTTAAGGAGGTTATTGTAGTCTAGGTGGGGAAATAGACATATCAACAATGGCAATGGCAACAAAATGCTATGAACACTAGGTATAAGATGTTATGAGACTGAGCTCAGTGGCTCAAGCCACCACTTTGTGAGGCCAAGGAGAGAGGATGGCTTCAGCCCAGGAGGTCAAGACTGTAGCGAGCTGTGATCATGCCATGGCAATCCAGCCTGGCCTACACTGTCTCTTAAAAAAAAAAAAAAAAAAAGTCACGAGACTCTTAGCTATCCATAGTTACGCTTGGCCTCACCTGTGCAACTTTCTTAATGGGGAGAGAGAGAGATCTCTTTGGGAACTCAGATTGGCCTTATGGTGGCCTCTCTTTCTTTGAGGGGCACAACAGGTCCTGGATGATGGGGGGGAAAAGATGTTATGAGAATGCAGACCTAGACGCATTAGCTTTGCCTGGAAGGGTTAGATAAATCATCTCCAAGGATATGCCATTTGATGTGGGACTTGAAGAATAGTTAGGTATCTGCTAGATTAAAAAGGAATGTGAGAGCAGGCCTCAGAGAGGAACAGAGGGTAAATGATGAGTTACTGTTTACCAATACTATGTGCCAGGCACTGTATTAGGTGGTTTATATGTTATATTTTATCCTTCATTCAATAACAATTTATTGAGCATGTGCTATATCCCTAGTACTATGTTGAGGTGCCAGTTGTCTGAATTTTCCCATGAGGATACCAAGGCACACAGAGATGAAGTGACTTTTCCAAAGCCACACAGATAGTAAGAGATAGAGACAGATTTAAACCAAATTTTGACTCTCTCCTAAACACACATGTTTTCAATTCCACTCTCCCAAGCTGGATTATATAGGTATACAGGCAAATTTGGGAAATAATGAAATATCTGGTGTGGCTAGAATATATAAGGGAATGTGGGAGTTGAGGGAGGGGTGAAGAGCAGCTGCAGAAAATCTGTGGAATGTTTCACTAATTTGCATGTTAATGTTTCAATATCTGATCATTTGCATTTGATTTCAGAAAAAGAAATAATTTCTTTTTTCCTGCCTTTCTGAGAAGATCCTGGAATAGGTACAATAACAACTTAAGTTTTTAAAAACTTATGACCCAATAATGTGGACGGGGTAAAACAAAACAAAACAAAAAGGAATTAAAATTGATTATCAATGCAATCATTTTTTACTTGTAATTACTTTAAAACATCATAAGTCATGAATATTTATCATCTTGCTTTCCAGACAATATACTAGGACCCAACCAATGATTAGAGAACAGCTGTCTGAAGCAAATATGCAGAAGAGTACCAAACAAAAAAGACAGCTTTCATGTTGGATCATAACTATATTGTGTTTGGAGAGTTCCATGTTTTCTTATTCCAGAAAACATTGCCAAAATCTGCCTATACCTTGAAAACTCATTACCTATGAAATTAAATCTTGTTAAATGATCTATAAATGTGTTGAGTAGTGTTACAAAATAAAAGGAAGTGTTTTGCAATTAAGATTGAATTGTTGAGCAGTACAAACCAACAGTCATTTCATGATATTTCTTTTCTTTTTTTAAGTAGGTGTCTCAGGCCAGGCATGGTAGCTTATGCCTGTAATCCTAACACTTTGGAAAGCTGAGGTGGGTGGATCACTGGAGGCCAGGAGTTTAAGACCAGCCTGGCCAACATGGTGAAACCCTGTCTCTACTAAAAATACAAAAAATTAGCCAGGTGTGGTGGCGCAAGCCTGTAATCCTGTCTACTGGGGAGGCTGAGGCACGAGAATCATTTGAAACTGGGAGGCAGAGGTGGCAGTGAGTCGAGATCGCATCACTGCTCTCCAGCCTGAGCTTCAGAGCGAGACTCTGTCTCACAAAAAAAAAAAGGAAGGAAGGAAGGACAAAAGGAAGGAAGGAAGGAAGGAAGGGAGGGAAGGAGGGATGAAGGAAGAGAGAGAAGAAAAGAGAGAAAGAAAAGAAAGAAAGAAAGAAAGAAAGAAAGAAAGAAAGAAAGAAAGAAAGAAAGAAAGAAAGAGAAAGAGAGACAGAGAGAAGGAAGGAAGGAAGGAAGGAAGGAAGGAAGGAAGGAAGGAAGGAAGGAAGGAAGGAAGGAAAGAAGGGAGGAAGGGAGGGAGGGAAGAAGGGAAGGAGGGAGGGAGGGAGGGAGGGAGAGTCTTGCTCTGTCACCCAGGCTGGAGTGCAGTGGCTCAATGACAGCTCACTGTAGCCTCCAATTTCTAGGCTTGAGGGATTCTCCTGCCTCAGTCTCCCGAGTAACTGGGACTACAGGTGTGCACCACCATGCCCTGCTAATTTTTTAAATTGTTTATAGTGACAGGGGTCTCGTTTTCCTGCCCAGGCTGGTTTTGAATGCCAGGCTTCAAGCAATCTTTCCCCTCCACCTCCCAAAGTGTTGGGATTACAGGCATGAGCCACCTACTGGCCTCCTGGTATTTCTATAAAGCCTTCAGGGCAGTAATTGAAATTACCTATTTTAGGGATCCTGGAAAAGAATTGTACCTTGCACTGAGATTTAAGATGTTGGTTTTAAGTTTGTAGATGTTACTGTTTAAGCAAATAGTTTCCATGGAGTACCAAAACATTACAATTAATTTAATGGTTTATAATAGGAATAAGTGAAAATATAGAAATTAGCTATGAGCATAGCACTTTGACTTTATATAATTTTAAATAATTTAAAAACTGTGTATTTCTTGAATTTATATAATACTTTACGCTTTCATACAGTTATAAATTATGTATCAGTTTCCCTTTTAGAAATGAAACTCATATTTCTAATTATTTATAAAATGCTATAAGGCATTTGGAACAAATTACAGTACTACTGATAAGCATTCACTTAGCCCAATTTTCTGACCTGCACTTTGGAGGCTGAGCTGTTCCAAATCTTCAGAGCATTTTCCTTCCTCCACAAAAAAAAAAAAAAGGTTGATATAAATGTTAATGAAGGTATTGATTCATTTTGAAAAATAATATATTTAATTCAAAATGGAAAACAAGGCACAGGAAAGATCTTAATGTTCTGAATCATTTCTGGTTAAAAAAATACATATTACTATTTTAAATACTGCAAGACAAATTCAAAAGACGAAAGAATCCTTGACAACTGGTTCTCATCTTGCACATCCATTCTGTGCATCTGGGGAGCTCCAATACATAAGCATATGTTGCTGGGGGCTAGGAGAGGCTGGTATTTACATTCAGATTTAAAGGAAGTATTGCCAACCCTTTGCAATCTGTTACCTATGCTTCTCTCATTTGTGGGATTTCTCTTCTGTAAAAGCTGAAATTCACACTAATCCAGAGAGATTATGCCATTTTAATGAGCAGTACCTGCTTTGATGAAGGTAAAAAAGAAATTGGAAAGCTTTTTAAAAAGCTGCAATTTATTTATCAGCTTTGATGAAGAGAAAAGAAAGGATCTATTCCTTTAACAGAAAAAAAAAGGATCATGTATACTCAAAGATCAGGTAAGGGAGAAAGGAGACTTAAGGAAGCAAAGTAAATGAAGCCTTTCCATTGTGTGGCAGAATTACCTGACAAGGGACCTCTTTGCAGACACTGAATTGTTCCTAATGATGTGAACAATTTACCCCAGCCTCCCAAGGAATAATACAGTGACTTTCATGTCTCTTAGAATCAGAGTTATTAATTAGGGAGCAGGTTCAAGGAGCAGCTCAAATAAAGAATCTTTGCATTCTGTGATCTGTCTGAGGTACTGTCTCAAAACTAACAAATCCTCTCTCTGCTGAGGTGCTATTCAGATTTTGTCTTACCTTGCATCCTCATCACCCCCTTATCTTGGATTAGATCCTTAAAGCTTGGATTTTTCATTTCCTTTGGTTGACAAGGTTCCTGAACTTGGTCAGTCCAGTACTGGCCCTATACTTCTGCGTAGGTGCAAGACTTTGAAACACTTACACCCTACTGAGCCAGTACCCTATTGTTGACGTCACTTCTGTAGAAAACTAACAGCTGAAAGGGACTCCACCCTACTACATGACATCCGTTATGGAAATGTCTCTGAAGTGCATCATTATGTAGCACATTTGCAAAGCCACATTTAAAACGGAAATACATAAAAAGAAAATTATAATCCTCAAAAGGCCACCTGCTAAAGTGACTTTATAAAAGGACTTGAAAAAAAAAAAAGATTAGGGAAAGTCAATTTGCTGTTGCAGGGCTCAGTTTTACTCATCTGTACTGTGAGGGGAGTGGTCTATAATATTCCCTCTAATACAAATATCCCATGGTTTTAATTATCAAATTATTTTACTTTTAAAATTTGATGCTTCAAAAGACCCTAAATTAAGTAAAATTGAATGAACTGTCAGCCATATGCTTTGGGTGTTTTTCTTTTTATAGCACATTAAATTTAGAATACATTTAATTGGTTTAAAATTACCCCCTCTGAAATGGTTTATGTGACCCATAATTCAGAGTTTATCAGGTAGAATAAGTTGGGCTATAATCATGTATTTTCTTTAAAAAATTAGATAAATTGGCCGGTCACAGTGGCTCACATCTGTAATCCCAGCACTTTGGGAGGCTGAGGCAGGCGGATCACTTGAGGCCAGGAGTTCGAGACCAGCCTGGGAGACATGGTGAAACCCTGTCTCTGCTAAAAATACAAAAATCATTAGTCCAGGCACGGTGGCTCATGCCTGTAATTCCAACACTGAGAGGCCGAGGTGGGTAGATCACCTGAGGTCAGGATTTCGAGACCAGCCTGGACAACATGGTGAAACTCTATCTCTACCAAAAATACAAAAATTAGCCAGACGTGGTGGTGCGTGCCTATAATCCCAGCTACTCTGGAGGCTGAAGCAGGAAAATCGCTTGAACCTGGGAGGTGGAGGTTGCAATGAGCTGAGATCGTGCCCCTCAACCCCAGCGTGGACAATAGAGCAAAACTCCATCTCAAAAAAAAAAAAAAAAAAAAAAAGCGAAAATTGGATATATTAAGCCTGCCTTTTAATACCATCTTCTACTATTTTCTCATACTATATATTCTAATACAATATCTTCTAATACTATCATCTAGGTAATTAGGTTTCAACATATGAATTTTGGGGGGACATAAACATTCAGACCATATCATGTAATAAAACATACGTGCTTATCTCAGAGATTTATCACCAGCGAGCTAACCATTTTTTCAAGGAAGTGAGAAGAAAGGTGCAATCATTAATAGTGTTCCTTTGCCTTATTTTATTTAGATAAAAGTACAGTGAATGCTTCCTGTAAAATCCTTTGGTTCTAATCACAAACTGTAGCGTCAGACAAGAGATGGAATCATCCCACACACTCACACATCTCAGCTCCTGCATTACTAGCAAAATGGTCTTGGGCAAAAGTTACTTATTCCTTAAATCTTAGTTTTCTCATATGAAAATGGGAAAAATAATGCTTTCGTTAATGAGTTAGTTATTAGCATTAAAGAGATCATGTATATAAAGTTTCTAGTACAAGGCCTAGAAGAAGCTCAGTAAGTAGTAGCTATAGTAGTTGCCATTTTATTCCTCCTCACTCCCTCCCACCCGCAAATTTGGCCATTGTGATTTCAAATTTGAAAGGCGAAAAAGAAGAGAGAGTAGACAGCCATCCCATCAGTTGCTTGGTATGAAACATTGTGAAGACCTAAGATTGTAATAATGAAAGAGTGCTAATTTCAATCTGTTTCGTATCATCAGTTATAAACCAACTCCTAAATACCTCTTTGAGAACACGGCTCCATCCAGATGCCAAGATAATATTGGAGCAAGCACAGTAATCCAGACAGGGGTCCACAGACTACAGCCTGACGACCCAAACTGTTGTTGTCTGTTCTTGTAAGTTTTACTGGCACACCACCATGCCTGTTTGTTCGTTTGTTTGTTTGTTTCTGAGACAGAGTCTTGCTCTGTCGCCAGGCTGGAGTGCAGTGGCGTGATCTCAGCTCACCTCACTGCAACCTCCACCTCCAGAGTTCAAGCGATTCTCCTGCCGTAGTTGGGATTACAGGCACGTGCCACCACGCCCAGCTAATTTTTTTGGATTTTTAGTAGAGACGGGGTTTCACCATGTTGGCCAGGATGATCTCCATCTCCTGACCTCGTGATCTGCCCACCTCGGCCTCCCAAAGTGCTGGGATTACAGGCATGAGCCACTGCGCCGGGCCTTATTTATTTTTTAATTTATTTATTTTGAGATGGAGTCTGGCTCTGTTGCCCAGGCTGGTGTGCAGTGGCGCAGTCTCAGCTCACTGCAACCTCCACCTCCCGGGTTCAAGTGATTCTCGTGCCTCAGCCTTCCAAGTAGCTGGGACTACAGGAATGTGCCACCATGCCTGGCTAATTTTTTAATTTTTATTTTTATTTTATATTTGTTTTTGAGACAGAGCCTTGCTCTGTCGCCCAGGCTTGAGTTCAGTGCTGCAATCTAGGCTCACTGCAACCTCCACCTCCTGGATTTAAATGATTCTTGTGTCATAGCCTCCAGAATAGCTGGGACTACAGGTGCAAGACACCAGGTCCGGCTAATTTTTTGTATGTGTAGTAGAGACGGGGTTTCACCATGTTAGCCAGGCTGGCCTCGAACTCCTGGCCTCAAGTGATCCGCCTCCCTCAGCCTCCCAAAGTGCTGGGAATACAGGCATGAACCACCACACTCGGCTGTTTGTTTGTTTGTTTGTTTTTGAGATGGAGTCTTGCTCTGTTGCCCAGGGAGGAGTGCAATGGCACGATTTCGGCTCACTGCAACCTCTGCCTCCCGGGTTCAAGCGATTCTCCTGTCTCAGCCTCCTGAGTAGCTGGGATTACAGGCATGCACCACCATGCCCTGCTAATTTTTGTATTTTTAGTGGAGGAGGGATATTGCCATGTTGGCCAGGCTGATCTTGAAATCCTGACCTCAGGTGATCCATCCACCTCGACCTCCCACAGTGCTGGGATTACAGGCATGAGCCACCTGCCTAGCCTGTTTATTTATTTTTTATGGTTGCTTCCACAATACAACAGCAGAGTTGAGTAGTTGCAACAGATACTGTATGGCTCGTATGCAAAAATATTTACACTCTGGCCCTTTACAGGCAGTTTGCTAACTTCTGACTTAGCATAATCTTAGGCATATGATCTCATTTCAAGTGGCGTCCTTTCCAAAGGACTCCCAAATATTTAAAACTTTTTATAAAGCCTTAATTAAGCAGTTTTAGGCCTACTCTATTCCAACCACCAAATGGGATTTAAGCTATGATAATGTTGCACAGTTTATGAAAGGAAATGCCTCCCTGAATGAAAAACTTTACGTTCTATTTTCACCCTTGTTCAGATGAATCCATGGTATTGATAAAGAAAAAAACAGTGAAAACATTATTGGTTCTGAATTACCGAAGAGATGTGTGTTGATTCAGAATGAAACTTCTTATCTTCAAACCTTCTGTGGCACTTCCTAAGGAACTTCTTGGTTACTTAAACCAAATGTGCAATTATCTTTATAACTGCAAGTATTTATGAAAACTGTGGCATGATTTAAATACCTCGACCAATTTAGTCATATGGTAATTCAAACCTTTTTAAAAGTATCAAAAAAAGCATCTTTTACTGCCTAGGTTCTGTTTCTGGCTTATTTGATTTGTTTAAATGTTTTTTTGTAATGTTTAATTTACATCTCCTTTGTAGTTAGTTAAAGCACTACGTTCTTCTTTCAGTGACAGTGACAAAAATGGGATCATGCTAACCAAGAAGTGGATGAATTTATCTCCCAAGGCCCTTTTGATTGCATGAGTTTAGTTTCTTCTCTGCAATTACAGATCCTTTAATATCATATCCTCATTAGTATGGTTCTCAGCCTAATTCTGTCAATCTTCTCTTTTTGAATAGCAGCTATATAGAGATACGTTAAATCAAACTAAAATTTTGCCTGAGAAAGTCTTTGTACTTGTATACTTGAATTCTTAAGTATAAACTGCAACCTAACTTGGTAGGTAAGCAAACTGAAAACCTAATTTAGGAGTAGGCTTCTATAACAATAGCTGAGTCTCAGCCAATCACAGCCGCCATACTTCAACAACCACTCACAGGCAGCCAGCTAGCTGTTCAAACCCTTCTCAAATAAGGCAAAGGCCCTGCTGTTTCTGTACTCGCTTCTGTATTCTGTATGTTATTTTCCTGTTTCTGTCCATAAATCTTCTCTGACCATGGGGGAGCCCCAGAATCTCTGAATCTGTTCTGATTCTGGGGGCTAGCTAATTCTCTAATTGTTTTTGTTTTTCTTGCTCAGTTAAATTCTGTTAATTTTAACTTGCCTAAAGTAACAGATCTAACTTGCATATCATATAGTTCACCAATTAAAATGTACAATTCAATAGTTTTAAATTTATTCATAATAGTTATGCAACCATCACTACAGTCTATTTTCGAATATTTTCATTACCCCAAAAAGGAACCCCACTAGCAGTCACTCCTCATTTCCCTCCAATTGCCCATACCCCCAGTCCTAGGCAACCACTAATCTACTTTCTGTCTCTATGGATTTTCCCTTTTTGTACATTTTATATAAATGGAATCATACAATATGTGGTCTTTTGTTACTGGCCTCTTTCACTTAGCATAATGTTTTCAAGGTTCAACCATGGTGTCACACTGTCAATCTCTTTTTAAAGTCATTATTTTGCATACTTAGTAGATACAGACCCAAATATTTAACTATAAGCATTCTTGGTAAAATAAACAGTTATAGCATTTAAAAATCTGATTATATTCTCTCTCTTTCTCTCTCTCTCTCACACACACACACACATAATGCAGGCACACACTCGTAAATTCACCAAAATTTGGCCTTACATATTCAGAAATCAATTAAACACAATAGATTGGGCATGACTGTTTCTTTAGAAGTCTGGCTACTACTGTGGAAGATTATGGATAATCCTTATAAATTTTGAAATGTGTGCTACAATTTATTCTGAAGGGTTGTTTGTATATGTTTAAAAGACTTTTTAAATAGGAAGCCTCCAATATTTCAAATTACATTCTAATAAAGGTTGAGGTTGAATATTTCACTGAAAAGAAAGCTTTATAGCCCAGACACACAAAATGATAACATCCAGTTGTATATCTGAGCTAGTGCACTCACCTACCTTAAATTCTCTGTAAGTTACAGGCACGTTATTAATAATACTTCCTTAAAAGCAAAATGTGATATGTGCCAATTAATTTTGTAAATCTCATTGAGGGAGGGATTATTATGGCTCTAACTAAAGTAACTGTCAAAATTACTGTAACCTGGCCAGGCAAGGTGACTCATGCCTGTAATGCCAGCACTTTGGGAGATGGGTGGATCACCTGATATCAGGAGTTTGAGACCAGACTGGCCAACATGATGAAACCCAGTCTCTACTAAAATACAAAAAGTTAACCTGGCGTGGTGGCGCACCTGTAATCCCATCTACTCAGGAGGCCCAAGAATGGATTGTACCCAGGAGTTGGAAGGTTGCAGTGAGCCGAGATTGCATCATTGCACTCCAGTCTGGGCAACAGAGCAAGACTTCATCTCAAAAAAAAAAAAAAAAAATTACTATAACTAAAAGCAAGACTTTCTGTAACTTGCAGTTTAATTAATGTGAGACAAGAAAGATTCACAAATCTTTTCTTTTATTTTCTTTCCCTCCTTCCCTCTCTCCCTCTCTCTCTCCTTCTCTTTCTCTCTCTTCCTCTCTTTTCTTTCTTTTTCTTTCTTTACTTTATTTATTATACTTTAAGTTCTAGGGTACATGTGCACAACGTGCAGGTTTGTTACATATGTATACATGTGCCATGTTGGTGTGCTGCACCTGTTAACTCTACATTTACATTAGGTATATCTCCTAATGCTATCCCTCCCCTCTCCCTCGACCCCACGACAGGCCCTGGTGTGTGATGTTCCCCTCTCTCTTTTCTTTTCTTTCTTTCCTTTCTTCCTTCTGCTTCCCTCCTTCCCTCCCTCCCTCCCTTCTTTCCTTCCTTCCTTCCTTCCTTCCTCCCTCCCTCCCTTCCTTCCTCCCTCCCTCCCTCCCTTCCTTCCTCCCTGCCTTCCTTCCTTCTTTTCTTTCCTTCTTTCAACAGGGTCTTACTCTGTTGTCCGGGCTGGAGTTCAGTGGTGATATCATAGCTCACTGCAGCCTCAACCTCCCAGCCTCAAGTGATCCTCCAACTTCAGCCTCCCAAGTAGCTGGAACTACAAGCATGTACTACCACCATGTACGTCGAATTTTTGTATTTTTTTGTAGAAAGTGGGTTTTGTGATGTTGCCCAGGCTGGTCTCAAATTCCTGGGCTCAAGAGATCTACCCACCTCAGCTTCTGAAAGTGCTGGGATTACAGGCATGAGCCCGGCCCACAAGTCTTTTTAATCACTAAAGTAATTATAACAAATATATTTTATCTTTTAAAAAGATTACATTAATGAGATCCCAAGCAATCTTCCTTCCCATTGATGTTATCACTGCACCTTTGTGGCAGGCAAATCCTCAGTTTTTCTTTTCCAGATAAGGAAGTAGAAGCCTGGAAAGAAAGCCCAAACTCAGAAACTCACCTAAAGCTGTCCTATTTAAATAAGGTTTAGCTTGGTTGGGTGCGGTGGCTCAGGCCCGTAATCCCAGTAGTTTGGGAGGCCCAGGCAGGTGGATCACTTGAGCCCAGGCATTCAAGTCCAGCCTAGACAGCATGGCAAAACTCCATCTCTACAAAAAAAAAAAAATTGGTCGGGTGTGGTGGCACAAGCCTGTAGTCCCAGCTGCTTGGGAGACTGAGGTGGGAGAATAACCTGAGCCTGGGAAATTGAGGCTTCAGCGAGCCATGATCGTGCCACTGCACTCCAACCTGGGTGACAGAGCGAGACCCTGCCAAAAAAAAAAAAAAGTATTGCCATACATAGTGAACTGTAACCTAAATAGATGTGTAAACACACTGTAACCCTTACTTGTAAAAATTACTGAGTTTTGGCCAATCAAAGGCAGCCAACTGTTCAAACTGAGTTCAAATAAAGCAAATGCCAAGCTATAACCAATCCAGCTGTTGCTGTACCCCACTTCCATTTTCTGTATGTCACTTTTTTCTGTCCATAAATTCTCTCTGAACATGTGGCAGCACCAGAGTGTCTCTGCACCTAGTCTGGTTTGGGGTGGCTGCCCCATTATTCATTGCTCAATTAAACTACGTTAAATTTAATTTGTGTGAAGTTCTTCTTTTACCACTTCCTAGGAATAAAAATGGTTTTCATTTCTACTTACCTATATCAAGTCTTACCCATCTTTTTCAAGCCTAGCTCAAGTTCCATTGCACAAAGGATGCCTTCTATAACTGCTTTAGCCCTATTACTCTCATTCTTTTCAGCCTACGTACGGTACTTCTTATATATTCTATCTTGAATTGTTTTCTCTTTCAGTTATGTGGACTTTGATCTTGAATTGAATATTGATCTTGAATTTGAATATTAGACTATTAATTCATTGTGGTTTGAGACCATACTTTTTCTATGTTGCTTATAATAGTTATCTGATTGATTAATTAGATATTTAACAGCCAGAAAATTGGGGGGGGGGGTGACACTTTAATTTTGAGCATTTCCAGTGATGATAATGACCTTTATTAAATCTATATATTATAAAGTCCATACTGATTAAATATGTCCTAATCTTATTAAAGATACTTCAATTGATGTTTTGTCTTTTTTTTGTTTTTTCTTATTCTCAGATACTGATAATTATTATTTTTTTTACAAGTGAATATCTGAAATAACCTTGGACATGTCAGAGTAATTTCTTTATGTGAATGTGCGTGTAAGATAGTTGGCCTGCATTAGCAAACATTCAGATTCATAATAACCTTTAGGTTTGAAAAATATTTGACAATTGCCTATTCACTATTAATATTCATGTGCTATATATGTGTACATTTTGAGCTGGAAACATAAAAACAATTCACTAATAAACAGTGGTAATAACTGTTCAAATCTGTATCCTATGGGTCAAAAAAAAATTAAGAATTGTCCAGGTCTTTCAAGATTTCCTCTATGCCAAATATTTTAAATATAAGAGAAACCTTTAAAATCATACTTAATTTTAATAAAAATGTCATCTCACAGCATACTGAATAAAAAGAGGGATTAGGATCAATCCAAGAACCTAAAATATCACAACATGGAATAGAATTATCCATGAATTAAAAAGATGATTAAAAAAAAGGATAATTCCTTGAAAATAATCTGATAAAATAAAATACAATTAATTAAAACAAATTAGTACACAATTGTACATTTAGAGACTGAGAAAACAATTAGGTGTGTTAGAAAAATGATTTAGTATTGAATTGATCAAGATTCTTTAAGTTATTCCTGACATATAAAGTTTGTGCAGCAAAATCATATTTTAATAGACTACAGAAAGGAGGTTTTAAAAAAATTGATAAAAATTATCCTGGGCAGGACGAGGAAAAAGAAGAAAAAAATAAAGTAAAATAAAATAAAAAATGGATAAAAAGTTCAAGCCAGTGGTCGAGCATGGTGGCTCACGTCTATAATCCCAGCACTTTGGGAGGCCGAGGTAGGTGGATCACCTGAGGTCAGGAGTTTGAGAGGAGCCTGACCAACATGGTGAAACCCCATCTCTATTGACAAAACAAAAATTAGCCAGGTGTGGTGGCAGGTGCCTATAGTACCAGCTACCTGGGAGGCTGAGGCAGGAGAATCGCTTGAACCCGGGAGGCAGAGGTTGCAATGAGCTCAGACTGCGCCATTGTACTCCAGCCTGGGTGACAAGAGTGAAACTCTGTCTCAAGAGAAAAAAAATAAGTTCAAGCCAGCAATGACATGTTAAGAATAAAAAATTAAAAATGGATAAAAGAGGAAACTGACAACTTTAGGAAAATTTCAGGGAAAAATTTAGACTATGTACACATAATACTTTGTGAACTAGACTGGGGAGAGTGTTGGTGTTGGGCAGAACAATAGGAAAAACAGCAAGAAAAAGGGGGATGTGCATATCAAAGGAGGAAAGAAAGGTAGTTTGGATAGACAAAAAACCTAAGAGGGATATTGGAGCCTTTCTATGATATCAACGGAGGACAGGAAGAATAAATGGTTTTCAAAATTTTGCGATATTGACTTTAAGTGATTTATTACAAAGGCATTAGGATTGAAAATTGGAAATGGAAGAAAAGGTAAAAACTCTTAGGTTATTGATTCACAAGGTCTGTTAGAGTCCTATATATATTAATAGCTTTTTGTTGCTGTTGTTTAACAAGAATAGACTCATAAAATAACCATTAGTTCAACAAACATTTACTGAACTCCTATGTGTCAAGAACTACGCAAGTCACTGTCAAAATGAATTAAAGCCTATAAGCAGGTGGAGGGAACCCGACAAACATCTGTGCAGGTTTTTTGATATAGATAAGAAAACGATCAACTTTGGGTTACTTGTGAATGATCCTCTGTGAGGTAAACTGATTGTGTGAAAGATTATAAAGAAATGTTGTTTAAGAGCTTTGAGCCTGGGCTCCTTTCTTCCAGCAAAATGCTAAACTTTGAAAAGGTCCTTTAGATTCTGGGCTACACAAAGGTAGCTTAGTTACATCAAACTGGCTGGCTATCTTAATAGTACTCATTAAGATGGAGTTCTACCTGGATTATACAGTAGAGCTTGTTAAACAGGAATCTCAACTAGCATCCAAATAGGTGCTTCTGTGTTTAGGGAGTGTTTTATCTGTTGGAAGGTTACTGACGCAATGAGAACTAATGCCATCAGCTAGGTACTCTGCAGCTTTGAAACTATGGACTATTGCATTTCGATTAAAATGACATTTCTTGACTGAATTCCGACATCCTCAGTGGTAGTGGTGAATGAACACTTTTATCAAAGTATAGATTCTATTAAGCTTTTTAAAAAATTTATTAATTTTTTTTGTAGAGATGAGGTCTTGCTCTGTTGTCCAGGCTGGTCTTGAACTCCTGGTCTCATGCAATCCTCCCACCGCACAGCCTCCCAAAGTGCTGGATTACAGGCGTAAGCTACCCCACTCGGCCCTATGTAAGCTTTTTTGAATAAAAAACAGGAACCATAAATAGCATATACATAGGATTCTTAATATTTTTACTTTAAATTCTAGAATTTGAAAAATAAACTAAAATTGAATACAACGTAATTGAGACAAATATATCTGCACTGGAAAATTTAGCTTAGAGAGTCCCTTCATGCTATTGCTCAGTCTGTAATTTTAAGTTTAAGAGCAGGTGGAAGCTCTTCAGCGGTGACTGACAGACACCATAAAAGGTAGAAAACTGAAGGAGCCTATTTCCTGTATCTAAAAATTTTTTGTGAAGAATTCCAGAAGTCACACCAAACCTTGGGCCAATTACTGAATGCTAGAAATCTCATTTGGGAGCTTACTGTAAATGTGTGTGGCAACACACTCACTCCATGTTCAATCCGACGCCAACATGTTGAAATCAGTATTTTTGTCCTGACCCAAACCTGAACCAGTAGAAAATCTCCCATAACAGAAATTCAATGTTTGTGAAAGCATGATTGCCCTCTCATTTCTTTTTCACCTTCCTGTGCCTTTCATAAGTTCTTCCAGTTCGTTAATCATTAATTAATATTTAACAAGGCTTTTTCCTAGTGCCAAGTCCTCTGCTAGTCTAGCCTTTAGGCAATATACGAACTCCCCAAGTTCTTCCCTTTTAAGAAGCCTTGGCACTCACTACAGATTAATTTCTCTAAGGAAATTCATAATGGCAGACGAAATAGGGGTTCCTTTTCAAGAACATTCAATTTTAAAGCGTTTCAGCATTTTTTCCTGGTATATGTAAAATGTGACTTAATTGAACTAATTTTAAATGTTGACAGAACTTTCCAAGCACACATTTCCTGAACAAAATGGTTACAACTGGAACAGGAAAGGGCTTACACTTTTTCCTTCTACAGCTATCCCACAAGTCAGTCTCTTGACCTGCCCCTGCAGAATCCCTCAAACTCTGGCTCTCTGAGTTGATTTTGGATCTACGATGAGCCATAGGTTTGGAATGCAGATAACCTCCACGTGTATTAATGAAAGAGGTCAGCTATGACGTAGAAGCCATCTCCTGGGCAGAGAAGGAGAAGAAATGGCAGTCTGGGGAGCAGTAACATGTCTCCAGGTTTTCTCTGGTGAAAGGAGACTGATGAGAATTGATACCCATTTCTGGTCAAAAGAGTGGAACCAAGGTACTTCCAACCACCTCCTCTCACCCCTCTCCGCATGGACAAACATACCAGACAGGTGATGTGGGCTAACAATTTACTTGGCATGAGGCCAAAGGCTTGAGCCCTGCCCTGCCCATATTCTTCTCCTTTGACTTCTTAAGGAAAGGAATGATTGCTGATGTTTCCCTCTGCGCCCTTTGACACCTGGACTGATTGTTGTAGATGTAATTAGGAATGTTCCCCAACATGCCGTTATTCTTCTCACGATTCTGGGAGAAACTGTACCCCTCCCCCATAGACTTATATAGGTGGCATTCAAATTCTCGTTCCCAACTTTTTCATATTTTTATTAATCCCATAAGATTTTGTGAATACGTACTCCGAGCCAGGCACGTTGGACTTCTAACTTCTTCTTAGCCCAAGTAGGAAGGGGAGACTCAGGCGCTGGGGACCATTCTCCTCTCCCTGCTGCAGAGTTGCAGTCCCTATCCCTCCTGGGTGCCCATCCCCGTGCCTATTTTCCTGGATCCCCACCCAGTTGATGTGACAGGCTCGTGGCCCAATCCCCTTCCTGGTTCCCAGGCCGACTGCTAGCACCACCCGAGCCAATGGCGGCGGCCGAGGGGCGGAGGGGGCTGGCAGGAGGGGAGGGAGCGCTGGCTTTAGAACCAGAGCCGCAAAGATTCCGAGGTGCAGAAGTTGTCTGAGTGCGTTGGTCGGAGGCAGTCGGGCCAGACCCAGGACTCTGCGACTTTACGTAAGTGCTTTGTAGGCGCCGGCGGGCACTAGGGGAGCGGGTTTCCTGGGCGTGGGCAGGAGTGGTCCTGGGGAGAGCATCTCGATTAAGCTCAGCAGGAACGTGCCTCGCACCGCGGGGCGGGGGTTGGGGGAGAGGGAGGTCGGAGAAATTTCAGTTGGAGCCCTCGGGTGCCCGGGCGATCGGTCGCAACCGAAATGGGTGTGGGAGTGACGGGGAGTTTCCCTACCAGCACCCGCCGCAAACACGTTTTCTGCTGTTCACTGTATTAAGTGGTGCTTTCTTACTAGTTACTCTTAACTTGTTGCCAGTCTTGGGCTGGAGTGCTAGACGCCAACCCTTGTCCTGATTCCCCTCCGCGGCTGCGGCCCCGAAGTGGAAAAGCAGCGCACAACTTCCCTCTGTCGTCCTTCTCCAGCTACTGCCATCCCCCCTCCCCTCCCGCCCGGACTCAGGAAATCCCGGAGCCAGCAGCTTGCTACTCCTCCAGCCCCCACAGGCCAGCCTCGGGTGACCTGGCTGGCTTAAGCTGACCCTAGGGCTCTGGAGAGGCGGGGCCGTGGCTGAAGGAAGGAACGAGGTTTGGGTTGCCTGCCTTCTGCTTGCTTCCCTCGTCCTTAGTGAGGGCGTCGCGATCGCACCTCCTCTCCCTATGAGTAAGCACTTTTTTTTCCTTTCAGTAGGAGAACATCTTTGGGCCAGTAGGGCAGTACCTTTCCGCTCTCCCCTGTCCCCACATCCCCTGTCCTTTTTTCAGCTCCTTTGGCTCTGCGGCCCCAGGCGCGCGGTCGGGGCGGCGGCAGTCCGGGACCTCTCCAACTCTTGGAGAGGGAGAGCCGAAGGGGCGACGGGAGGGAGGTAATATGCCCCCTCCCCCGACTTTCCCCGCACAGCTGCACTTGCCTGTGTTTACTTTTCTCCACCCGCAGTACTTAAGCGCTCTAATGAGAAGCCCGGGGACGCCGACCACCCCCGCCCTGGCTTCTCGCCAGTCCCAAAGTTGCTGCCGCCGTCGCTACTCCAATGTGCTGGCGGTTCCGACCGCCGGGCTCCGGGACGTAAGATGATCCCAGCCCGGGAGGTGGAGTGGGGGTTAATGGCATCTGACTCTAGCCTTATGCGATGCTCCTTGCCTTTCACCTGAGCAGCACGATATCCCCATTGGTGCAGAAGGTTGAGCTTTTGCAAAAGGTTGAGCTTGGAACTAAGTGGGTTGGAGAGCCTCACCATTTAGCATCAGACAGACGGGATGCTGGGAGCGCCCGGCCTGTTAAGAGGGATGGGGAGGAGGGAAGGGAGCCTGGCTAACAGTAGGTAGAAAATGTAGGGAAAAGTAAAAATTATTGAAGAGCAAGCACTTACTCCACTTTGCATGATGTCACAATGGACTGGGGAGCCTAAACTTGATCCTCGAGATGCAGTTTATGGTGAATTCCAGCTAAGTGGCTGGAGCCCCACACATACCAATTGGAATCACGTGCCCCAAGTCTCTGATGTGATGGTCACATGACGTCTTTTTACTTTAAAGCTGGAATGTGATGGTTGAGGCCCATATTCCAAAAACCACCTCTACGTTTGAAAAAAAAGGTGGGGAGAAGTGTGAACTAGCTTCTAATCAAGGAATTCTACTAGGATTTTGGATGAGGGGACCAGAAAGGGAATTTGGTGCTCAGCTTTTATCCAAAACAAAAACAGGAGCTGTTTTTAAAATAAGGGATTGAAATATATGTGAGTTGGGACATATATCTCCTCTGTTCTTCAATCTCATGGTTTTTCTAAATTTAAAAAACATCTTACTAATTATTTTCTAGGGAAGTCATCCTTTTACTCATGCCCCATTTTGTCCCTGAATGCTAGATTTGAAGCTATATCCCACAAGATGGTGTTAAAAAGTAAGGCTCTGTTCATCTTCCTTGGTCTGGCCTATATTTTAATTAGACTGTTCCCTATTTTAGACATCTACTTAAAGGTGGTAGATAACCTCTTGACTAAAATTAACCAGTTATTTTTGGTTTTGAATTAATTAGATTAGAAATCATGCACAAAAACAGTGGACAGTAAATTTGATACATCGAGTTGGTTGGGTTTTTGCCTGTCAGTGGTTTGGTAGAATAATGAGAGGACACTGAAACGACTTTCCCATATTGACCTACACCCGCCCAAGTGACCCAAGTTAAGGTTCCTGCTGGGAAAACGTGGCAATTTGGCTATTTAGATTATATATTACAGAGTATAGAAGAGGAGCCTCTGAGGTCAGGAGTTTAAAAGCTTTGCTTATCTGGAAAGAAAAGAAAGAAAGAGAGAGAGAGACGAAGGGAGGGAGGGAGGGAGGGAGGGAGAGAGGAAGGGAGGGAGGGAGGAAGGAAGGAAGGAAGGAAGGAAGGAAGGAAGGAAGGAAGGAAGGAAGGAAGGAAGGGAGGGAGGGAGGAAGGACGGACCTGGTTGATGCGTATTCAGCCTTGGAAACAACCAAGGCAGAAGATATTTAAGAGATTCTGACTTTGTATTCTTTTGCCAAAAACCCTTTGTCTCCTGCAGCAGCCTCTGACTGCAGCACTCCATTTTCTTGCTGTTCATCCGTTTCTGAGCCCGAAAACTAGAACAACCTTAAAGCACATAGTTCTGATCCCAAGGCTAGCTTTGTGGCACAGATTAGCTGGAAATGGATTTAAGGTGCACCTGAGTTACTAGAGTTAACTACACTGGTAGATAGACCCCTCTAGTGGAAGTGAGGTGATAATATAATTTTAGATTGAAATAATAAATGTTTAACTTCAAAAAAAGCGAGTTATTACCACTCAACTAGGTTAAAGTGGTAGGGGGATAAGTTCTTTTTTAAGTATTGTGAAATCATGTCCAAACAGAATCATTGCTAGGCTGTATTCCACAGCTTTTCATTGTCTTGGGATGCCTACTCATTGAACACCACCCCCCAATATTGCTGACTTCCTTTTTTGGTGGTATGATCTAATGAGCCCAAATTTTTATTAAAATTAGGGGGCTGGGAGTAAAATTCTTAATTTTTACTGTTAGATCTAGCAGATAGCAGCCCCTTACTTTACCTGAGGTGGGGAGCTATTAATAAGTAAATGACGCTTTGCCTTGACTTAATACAGACGATCAACATTGAAGTCCAAAGTCTCTAGTCTGATGTAACCATTTAGATTCAATTGATAAAAATGACTAGGCTTATGGCATTTTGGGTAGAAGGATTAATTGTAACTAGTGAGTAATAATTTGGGTGAAATTAAGCCTCTTCTACAAGTGATTACACGCACATTAGACTTTGACTGTGACTATTTATACTGGCAGAATGTCAGTATCCAGGGCACTACCAGAAACCCACTGAGATTTTTCTCCCAGGCGAACAGAAACCTGTTACTGAAAAGGGCAGCTTTGCCATGGTGCTTGAGCACCAAAGTGGTTCTTTTTGGTGACACTGAGAGGGTACAAGAAGAAAGTCCATTTGCCATTATCCCATATTATGTTTTAGGCATTATTTCTACTTGGATTTTCATGAAATGTACTGACAGTGTTCTTAGCACATATGATAAATTCATGACTTTGCTATTGTGTTTGGTCTAGCATAATCTATGTGGAATGTATAAGCTGAACTGTTTGTTTCTTTTTTGCTGTTTGGTACAGATTCCGAAAGTAGCTGGTATAAAATAAAATTTGAAAATGAATATCTCTCGATACATGACAACATGGGGTATCTGTTTTTAGAATTATGTTGTCTTTGGTCATATGACAATTTTTCTTTTGGTGAAGAGTGATCCAGAAGGCAAAATTTTTGATCTGTGAAAATAATACAACTCATTTAGAAGAAGTCAGCTGGGTCATGTTTTGAGTCTGTATTATTCTAGACAGTGATATACCACACAATGTATATTCAGTGTGTTGGAGGTTTCAAAGCTTTTTTGATACATTGCAATGTTGGAAGCTTTTTTATATACCAGTGGTCATGACTAGCTGATTTTAGTTATGAGAGTGCTTTGGTTAAAGTTATGGAAACAGTCTAATCGTGAAATGTCAGTCTTAGGAGAAGATCTGATCATACTTGGGCCAATTTATTTTAGTTATGGAGGTGAGACAATTTCAAAAGATTCATGATAAATGTAATAATACCAAATTTTGCCTTAGTCTTGACACTTGAAAGATAAATATTAGTAAGTATAAACTGTTTTAGGGATGAAGAAGCATTGTTAGTATATGAAAATGAAAATACTAATTTCGTTGAACTTGCCCTCAGAGGAACTAGGTTCTAGATAGGACTCTGCCATTGACTCATAATTTGACCTTCAGAAAGTCATTTAAAATTATTATATTGATAGCTAATTGAGTACATACATGTGCCAGACACCATTCATGCTTTTGTTTATAAAAAGAGAGGGTTGCTCAAGCTTTTTGGTTTGCTGGGTTTTATTTTTTCAAATATTCATAATCTGGCTTATTTCAGTTATCAGTTGACTTTTCAAACTTTGACGCAATTGCATTGATCCAAGCTAAATACTTTGTTGGCAAATTGATGACTATTCAGGAAACTGATCATCAGTGGGTTATTCCATGACTAATGTTAGTTCTTTAAAATAAAGAGGTGCCATTTATATAATTCCTTGACAGCGATTTTTGGTGCATTAAGCCTACTGATTTTATAATATGAGAAACCTTACATTTTCTTAAAAGTTTAGAAATGTATTTGATAATAAGGGTGGTAGTGTTGTTTATTGGAAAAGCATTGAGCATAGAATTTAGG